AGGCCATAGTAGGTTCAGAAGACAGTTTCTGAAGTTTGGAGTCCATATGAACAGCTTCAGACAGAAGAAGAGCAGTCAATTCTTTCATGCGAATTGACTCTGATCTGGCTTGAATGGTAGTCTTGAAGGCATCATACTCATCAGGAAGACCATTCAAGGTAAGCAAAACAAGATCTTCATCATCTATAAATGAAGAAACAAGAGCCAATTGACTGACCAAGTCTTTGATCTTGGAAAGATAATTCTCCATCGAATCTGTTTTCTTAGAAATGCTGTTTAATTTGTTCTTCAACTGATGAACACTAGATCGAAAAAGTGAAGTGAATTGCTTATGTAAAGCAGTCCAGATCTCAGCACAGCTATGAAGATGAAGAACAGAGGAATAGATTGCAGGTGACAAAGTTGCAGTAATGCAACTGAGCAAGTGTGCATCGATAAGCTTCCATTGCAGGTATTCAGGATTGTCTTTCTCTGAACCAGAAGAATCTGTTATTCTCAATTTTGGACATGGTATAGTTCCATCAACAAATCCAAGAAGACTAGTAGCAATGAGTATATTCTGCACTTGATTTTTCCATATCAGAAAGTTTGATGCATTAAGCTTGATAGTGATGAATGAAGAGAAGTTCGAAATCAGTAATGAGAGATTTGGAGGAAGTGAGGTTGAAGCCATGAGAGAAGATAACAAAGGAGTAGAAGGAGCCATGGATCAACTCGTAAGAGAGAGTTGCTTTGATACCATGAAGAAACTAAGAACTTCTTTATTATTTAATTTTCAGAGATGCTAAGAATGATTTACAATGCTGTATTTATAAACTTGTATGTAAGCACTAGTTTGTTACAACGGAGTGATAGTTACAACTATATGGCTGAGGTGGAAGTAACTTCGAGAAGCTTCTTTTTACAGCTGGAATAACAGAATTAGTTAAAGCGGTTTTTCTTGCAGCAGCAGCAGTTGTACCAGAATCTGTTGAAGCATCAGTGGAACTGCTATGTAGCTCAGTATCTTCAATAGATGGCCTTGTTTGGAAGCATGTTGAGTGTGTTTAGTTTGTGTTTTTAGATAAAATTTTTAAAAAAATTTGGAGAGAGTGTATAACCTTTCTTGATTTGTTTGATTGTATATTTTGAACATAATTTTAGAGTTTAGGAGTTTGGGATGATTTGATATTTTGTTATAGTTGAGTAGATGTGTGTGAGAGAAAAAGTGATTGAGAAGCAGAGAGGAGAGGGAAAAAAATGATTGATTGATGTGTAATAGAGAGAGATAATTTTAAAATTTTTTTGAGAAAATTTGTAACCAAACATGTTTTTGGAAATTTTCTTCAAAAAACATGTTTCAAAACACAAACCAAACACACCCATTATTTTAATAACTTTTTAGTTTTTTGGCTAAAATATGAGATAAAAAAATTAGTATGTTTGGAATAACTTTTTGATTATTTACAAAAGATGTGCAAAAAGTAGAGAGAAAATGGAATCTTTAACTTTTTTGAATAATTTGTTGATTTTTTGGCTTTTTTAATTACTTTTTGACTCTTAGGCTAAAAGTGATGTTTTCAAACGAGATCACCGTGTAACCTAGTTGGGATTAAAGTTCTTTGCTATGATACTTATAACACGATTACTTTTCTTTTATCTTTCCTTTATTGATGCTCGATCTAAGGTTTATCCTTGATTTTATATCAATAAAAACTCATCTTTACTGATAAAAAAAAGAAAAGAAAAAAAAGGTCAAAATTTTGAGTTAGATTAATACTACTCAAATAGTTTTAGTTATCCAAACAAAAATAGAGTTTGTTATGTAACACAACCCTGCATAAAAATGTTAAAACTCGTTGGATTTCAAACACTAAAACCTAACACTGTAATTTAGGAAAGTACTTGAACCAAGACCTAACTTAAATCAAAATAAAATTTTGGGGCCTACAGTTTGGGTACTTGGTTACACCTGGTTTTGTGCTAGTTGATCTTACTCCTTTTTTACTTTTATAAACACATATATTTGGACCAACTGCTATGACATAAATAATTATAGATGTAAATCCAAATGCTACCTTAGTGATGTAGATCACATTGTAAAGTATTTGGAGCAATTGGATAGACAGGTGGCAAAACAATAATTGTGAACTCAGAAAAATATATATATATATATATATATTAAGTGTAACAGTGATACTATCTCACGTAATGATACCATCTCATGTAGCGTCACAAATGAATTAAGTGGTGAACACTCATCTCCTATTAACAAACAATATTGCGGTCCTATTGCAAATCAAAAATGCTTATTGAATGGTGATGCTATATCATGGTATCATTATTACATCTAATATTTACTCGAACTCAGGCCAATATTGTTAGATTTGGTTTGGAAGGCCCGTATTCTATCGGAAATAGCACAATGAGCAAAACTCACAACTTTTCCAGTACCTAAGGCAGTTTTGGTGCTGATTCCACTGTTAAAGCTTTTGAATGTGCATTTTTATCATTTTTTGAAAATTTTCATTTGACAATATATTATTTAGAAATATCAGTTTTTGATGTCACTTGTTTTAAAAAGTTTATATTACTTTCTAGTATCAAATTTGAGCCTAAATCCAAATTTTTGTTTTTGGTAATTTTTCATTTTCCTTTACTTTATTTGTGATTAGCAAGGATCTAACTTATTTGTTGTTTCCTATTCAAATTAAGACTTTTCTATTATAAACCTTGCGGTTAAGTAGTGCTTTCAAATTATTAATATGATTTTGAGAGAGTGTTTTCACTTCTTTGTGTGTTCTGTACTCTAGGTATTCTTAGAATCAACGAAGCTATAAATTTACATATAAAGATATACTAACCCTAGAAAGGGTCCAAAAGGAGCATGTGTTTGGTGATTAGGACCCCTAGTTGTAGTTCATAGAGTTTTTCGATAGGACACTCATTTAGAGATGCAAGATCACAATGTCGAACTTAAATGAACAAAGACTGAGAATGAGTCAGTTTCGTGAGCAAAATTATCAAATAGACACTAAATGACCTAGAAACAAGTATGATCACCAAGCTCGACCTAAAGAAACTTGTACAAACACACCAAACCTAGATAGGAAACATAGTTATAGATTTAGAAACAAAGTATTGAATTTGAGACTTAAAATTGAAAATAAGTTGTTCAAGGGAAAATCGACAACTAGCCACTAGATGGGCGGATACCAACTTGAGCACCTTGCTCGATTTGATAATAGTCTTGGATAAAGATTCAAGCTGTATTTAGATCATAAATTTGAGTAGAAATCTAAAAAGGAAAAGAGAAAAAATAAGTGAAATGTAACTATATTTTATTCACATTTCACCTAACTTTTATTTTTTTATTTTTTATTTTTTGTGGGCAAAATTCATTTTACCTCCTCGTGGTTTCGGAGTACTTTACCTCCTTATGGTTTAAATATAATCAGAAAATCCCATGTGATTTTGGATTAAAGTGTCACCGTTAATTTTTTTCATCCAAATTAACGAAAAGTGTATACACCATTCTTTAAAGTGAGCTTAGTTTTCAGAAACAATAAAGTGAAAGTAACACAACAAAACGACAATTTTATCCCCCATTTTCTCCAAACCTAAAATTAGATTAAGATGTTAATTAAAATATAACTAAAAATTGGTCTAAAATATAAAATATAATTAAGGATTGATTTAAAATTTAATTTAATTAAAATATATAATAAATAATAATTAAGAATTGATAAAATATAATTAAATTAAAATTAGATTAAGATGTTACGAATTACAATAAATAATTAAGAATTTAGGATTAATTGTGATCTAAAACATAATTAGATTAAAATTTTAATAATAATAATAAATAATTAAGGATTTAGAATTAATTGTGATATGAAAATAATTAAATTAAAATTAGATTACAATGTTAAGAATTGCATTAAATGATTAATAATTTATAATTAATTGTGATTTAATTGAATTAATATTAGAAATTAAAAATTATGTGCATGAGAGAGAAGAGAGAAACAAAATAACAAAAAGAAGCATAGAATGCGAGGATATTATAATCGTTTTATGTCTATAGTTAACGGCGTTAAAGGTTACACTTTGGTTTAAAATCATATAAGGTTTTCTGACTATATTGAACCATAGAAGGGTAAAATGTTTCAGGCTCAAACCATAAGGGTTTAAATGAAAATTTTCCTTTTCCAATCATTACCCAAATTTATGATTCAAACACAAACTTTGGAGATTATGAAACTAATAGACTTAAGATGGTAAATACACCATTTCGGCTATATTTGGATTATAAATTTGCGTAGAGATTTGAAAAATAAAAGAGAAAATGTGGGTAAAATGTAAATATAATTATATTTCATACATATTTCACCTACATTTTTTTTTCTTTTTAAATTCTTATTCAAATTTATAATCCAAACAAAGTGTCAAAATTGGCAAATAGCAAAATGAATGGGAAATTGAAACAAACAACCATGCTCAAGACTGAAAAAACTTGCCAAGAAAAAGTTTAAAAAGTTATAAAGTATTTTGAAATTCATAAAAAGTGTATTGAATTAATAATAAATCTTTGGAATCTACATATATTTTATTTTTTTCTTGTATCCAAGGAGTACTTTTTAGCAAAACTCAACTTTAAATTGGAATGTCGAACTAGATTTTTTGGAACATTTTTGGGATGGAACTAATATTTTTGAATGATGAGAACATCTCAAAACAGCCAACCAAATCATTATAAAAATCAAACAACAGTCCTATATATGAAGTCAACCGGTATCAAAGTAGAAAATCCGGACTGAAGTTGTCCTAGACCTCTGTAATTTGATCATACAATAATATCACCGTTATACTGAAATTTTACTCATTGCGTAGATGGAATTAATACCTACTTCTAACTTTATTATCCTAAATTTCATATATATATATATATATATATTCAATAAACAAAAAAAACAAGTGAAATGTGAACAAAGAATAAAGACTAGGAATTGGCTCTTTACCTACCGTGCCTGTGATGTCCGAGGTCGAGTTTTGCTAACAACCAACTGTAATTTCCACCTTCCACTCCTGTTGTCAATAAATAAATAAATAATTATATAAATTTTAAAATATGTCCCCCAAAACAATTACATTTTATTTGATGGTTTTCTCAATAATTTCTTGAAATTTTGAATTATGAATATTGGGGATAAAAAGTAGGAAAATTACATTTCAGTCCTAGTGTCAAAAAAAATTACAAATTCATGAAAAAATTTATGATTTTAATTATTAATATTTATAAAATTTACCAGTGATTGGTAATTGTTAATTATTAATTATTTATAACTGATGTAATATTTCTCCCAAAAAATAAATAGTGTGGAATGTGGTTGCAATAAGGGATGGTCATTTTGACCTATCCCGTGGGGACCTATCCCTACCAAATGTATCCCGGGCTAGCCCTGAGAATTAGGGGGTTCAAGGCGAACTTCGAAAATGAAGCCCCTCTTACATTGGGAAAAAAGAGTGTTCATGGATAAAACAAAAAGTTACAACAATTTTTTTTATTTGTTTGTAGCCACAAAAAAATTTACCTGCACATATAATCATTAAAATTATAAACAAAAATTTACTTTCATATATTAAGATAGGAAGCAATCATTACAAATATTCAAAAAATAAAAATAAAAATATGATCTTGTCGCTTTATAGTTTAGTAATATTCAGTTTACAACTAAACCAATATCACATAAATATTACTCTTCTCACATTTTTAGTCGCAAAATCACTAATGAAGTTTGCATAATCGAATTTATCCACCATATCCTTTTCAATTGATAACAAAGCTAACCTATTACAAATCTAGTCTTGTTTCTTTTCTTTTTTTTGGGCCTCATGTTCAATTGGGCCTATAGTATTTAAGCCCTTTTTTTTTAATATCTAAAATACAAAATTATATTTGGGGCCCCTATTTTCAACCCAAATTTGAGGACCCAAAACGCAGGCCTCTCTTGCCTGCCCTCAAGGCTGGGCCTGGATGTATCCAATCTATTGAAGATATAGGTGGGAGCGGGTATTTTTTTCCCATTTCGAGTGAACGTAGGGTTGGGGTTGGGGCAGAGGTTGAGGCTGGGGTTGGAGATGCACCGTCTAATCAAAATCCGACCCACACATAATTAATATATATTCTATATAATGAAAGATTATAAGTTTAACTATTCAACTTCAGATTGGGACTTTTGTAACCAAATTGGAAAATGCATTCTATTACGTAGCTTTGTTATAAATATTGTATTTTTTTTTTGGGAGTTACGATAATTTGTGATTTAGAATCGAAGTTAAGTATTTTATGTGTTACATATTTTTGTGATAATATTATACATTTTTTTTATGCAAACATTTTCTAGATACAAAATGTGTAACAATACCATAAAATATATAATATTATCACAAAAATATGTAACTTTATTTTTGAATCATAAATTTTCATAATTTTTGCCAAAAAAATACATAATACTTATCACAAAAATACATAACTTACATCACAAAAACACAAAATAAGAAGCTATAGAATTTTTGGGAAGCTAGTCACTTTTTTTAGGGGGCCTAAAATTTAAAAAGAGAAGAAATATGCTAAAATAGCTAATAAAATAAAATATCATTTCACTTTTTTTTCCTCATAAATATCACATTCTACTACAAAAACAAGATCTAACTCTCTTCCCAAACACAAATATTTTAACATACTAAAATAGTCAAAAACTAAAATAATCTATTAAAATAGCCAACTTTCCCAATGCGGCTTAAGGCGGAAAGTTTGAGGCTGTGTTTGGTTTGTAATTCAAACCATGATTCCACACTTGTTATCAACCCTCTGTTTGCTTACAGTTTTCAAATCATGATTCCAAATTAATTTCAAAACACATTTTGAAAACATGTTTAGTAAACCAGAGAGCTTTTGAATTTTTTGTTTACCCAGTCGTCTGCCCGGACATCCGCCTAGATAGTTTTTGAATTTTTGAATCTATCCGGTCGTCCGGCCAGTTAACTGAAACAATGCGTTTTTTTTTTTTTTTTAAGCAACTGGGACTTGTTATCTAGAAAAAAAAATTATATTTGTTTTTGATATTTTTTTAAATATAGAAAGAAAAATTTGAGACCAAAATGACAAATTATTTGTACCTTTATTTAAAATTAACAAAAAAAAAATTAATTTGTCACAATAATTTTTAAAAAATTAGAAAATATATATATTTTCAGAATTTTTAAAATTTTAAAATAAAAAAATTGTTTTTGTCAATAATTATTTTTTTGAATTAAATTTTAAAAAGAGTTTCGTTACGAGCTTCGAATAGAATTTTAAGTTGTGTCTTTGGTTATGAGTTATAAGTTTTTAAATTAAGTTTTGAAACTTTTCAAAACTCATAATCAAATAATTTTTCATAAACTCAACACTCATTTCAAAAATTCAACACTCAATTCAAAATTCAATTCAAAACTCTTTTCAAAACTTATAACCAAACAAATTTTCTACTTTCAAATCATAATTTCAAAACTCACAAAGTCAAAATATAATTTCACACTCGGATCATAATTCTAAATACAAACTAAACACTACCTGAAAGTTTTCTAATACTACCTGCAAAAGTAGACAGTTGTTTCAAATTTTTACTTTTGTCAATAAAGGCTTGCAACTATCTCCATCTCTATGTTATTATCTTTTTATTTTTTTCACATATTTTTATAAAAAATTAAAAAATATATTTATTTAGAATATTTCAAACAATTCTTGTATCAGACTATTCCCTCACTTTCACTTATCTCTCTCTATGGCCCGTTAGGGATTAAGTTATTTTAGTTTTTTTTTTTTTTTTGGTTATTTTAATTTGATTAAAAAAGTATTGTTTGGGTTGATAATTATTTTTTTTGTAGTTGATTTGATAATTGTGAGAGAAAAAGTGAAATTATTATGTTTTGAATATGACATTTTAACTTATTTTGTCTTATTAACTTTTTTTTTTTTTTGGCTGCCTATTTTAACCACTAAATTTTGACTTTATTAATTTATTCTATTAGAATGAAGTAACAAATTTGGTTTACAGAGGGTGTTTGTCATGTGATTTTTTAGCTAAAATAATTTAAAAAGTCAAAATATTCAATCACATCACAATCTATATTTTTTAACACATTTTTTCGTAAATGTCAAAAAAGTAACTAAAATAGTCAATTCTCAAATGAGTTCTTAGTCAAGTGAACAAGGTGAGTTCGGATGCTCGATATACAGGGAAGGGAAGAAAAACTCCGCCTGGTAGTAGGGATTAGGGACGGAATAGGGATGGCGGGGACGAGGGGCAGGTAATAACAAATTCGACAAAAATTTGTCATGTGACTATCCCTAGTTGTGACATTTGGTTTGATAAAAAATGAAAGTAAAATATCTTTCATAATTAATGAAAAATAATTTATTTGAGTGGAAAACATTATTCACTTTTTTAAAATGGAAAATATTTTTTAGACTAAGCACCGGCCAACCTCATCACACAACCAACATCACCATCACCTCTACCCCCAATGCTACCACCTCCACCACTCCACTACCATCCCGCTATTACCACACTAACCCAATAACCAAAACCATTAATATATTGGTTTAAGATCACAACTGAACATGTTTGTTTGGGGTGTTTGGTTTTAGCTAAAATAGTCAATAAAGATAAAAAATAAAAAATTAAAATAATCAATAAGACAAAATATTACATCTTACACATCAATCAATCACTTTTTTTCTCCCAACCATATATTCAACAACCAAAAAAAAAATACAAATCATCCTAAGTACAACTTTTTTCATCTCATAAAATAGTCAAAAAGTCACTAAAATAACCCAGTTCCCAAATGAACACTTTGTTTGGTTTTGATTTTTCAAATACAGTTTTTAAATTTTTTATTTTTCATATTTTGTTGTCTTTAATGAATCTTTTTTATATTTTAAGGATTTTTTTTTTGATACACCTAAATAGTAAAATATTTGTAAAGAAATCTGGAAAGAAAAAATCAATAAATACAACCAAAAAAATTACTTTTTTTTTTTGTTGAATTTTTAGATATTTTTTCACATATATTTTTTTATGTTTCAACTACATCTAAGTTAGGTACATTTAAAAGTTTAAAAAAAAAAATTTGATTAAAAGTTAACTAAAAACACAAAAATTATAATTATATATATATATATTGATAACTCGGTATACAATCCAATGAATCAACTAATTTGGAGACCAATCCCACCGTCCACTAGTAGGTAGTCCAATTAAAGTTGGGGCAAAGCCCTATATAGACTAATCAAAGAAATTATTTGCACCTAAAAGATTTTGAACATAAAATCATGAAAATAGCACACCCCAGACCTGGTTAACCTTTTGGGGTTGTCGAAAATAACATTTGAAAACTCAAAACCAAACTAAAAATTGTAACATTTAACCTTCTACATCTACTAATTTTTTCAATTTGCATCTTTATGACCAAAAGACCCTTTCAGTTTTAATAAAAATTAGAATTTACCCTTGGAGCCATCGCTTGACTCCCTCAACTAAAGAAAGTTCACTAAAGACAAAAATATATGAAAATCTATTAGTGTTTTTTTTTTGTCGTTTTCAGTAATTTTTTTTAAAATTTCTTCACTAATATGTGCATGTAGATGAAGTATGTCTAAAATATGAAAAAAGTTTACCAAACATTAAAAGAAAAAAAAAAAAACTCAAAAATTGTATTTGAGTTTAAAAACCAAACAAATGTAACATTTTTTAATTAAGTGAGATAAAGTGATATTAAGTGATAATCTAAGAGGATACATGTAATTTAACCTTATAATTGGGAATTTTTGTCATTAAGGTCTAAGTTTTTTTAAAAAAATAATAATAAACGTAAAGAATTAAGTGCTATAGTTTTTAGTTCGAAATAATAAAGTTAAACATGACAATAATTTAAGAGGTAAATAATAATTTTTTTTTTAAAAAAAAAAAAAGGAAAAGAAATGAAGGGTTAGTGAAGGATAATGAAATTGAGAAAACAGCTTTTTAAATTACCAGTATGAGCAGAATCTGTGACTGCGGGCTTCAGAAGTAGCTGTTGATGTGCAGTTTTTAGAGAGGGAATGCAATGGTCAGAGAGAGAGAGAAAGAGAGAGATGGTATTGTGATGGAGAGAGACAGTGAGGGAGGGAGGGAGGGAGGGAGAGAGAGAGAGAGTGATGATATTGTAAAGTAGAACTAGTATTGCAATTCGCAGATGCAAGTACTTTTGAGAGAGAGAGAGAGAGAGAGAGAGAAAGAGAGAATGAAGTTGTAGTGTCCATTGGGAGTGTCATTTATAGCCGTGGATGTGGATCTGTTAAATCTATGGGATTAAAGGTTCCTAATAACGGTGATCTTACATATATTAATTGATATATTTAGTGTGTTAATATATTTTATAATATTATTATTTACTTTAATTATTATATAAATTATAAATATTTAAAAATTTTAAAATTATATTACATTATCAGTTAGTACATTAATTAATATACCAATTAGTACATATAGTATTATTTTAATAATAATAATATTATGATTTGACGTTTTTTTAAAAAGAAATAATATGGCAATGATTTTTTTTAGTTAAAATAAGTAATAAAGATAAAAATAAATTAAATCCCATTATGCTTTTCATTTTTTAAATTTTATTACCAAATTCTTTGCACTTTTCGCCAAATCAAAATGTGACCCTTTTGTTAGTTTGGCATTAAATTACGGTTAAATTATATTTTTCCCCTGTATGTTTGACTATTTTTTTATTTTGACATTTTAAGTTTGTTTTTTATTTTTATTTTTCCCTTTCATGTTTGAAGTTTTTTTCAATTTACCCTAAAATTATTTTTTTTCGAAATTTTACAAAAAATGTCATGTTTACGATCACATAATATAAAAAATATATTATTATATTAGAGTTTTGATTTGTGTAAGATTTGTGAGTTATACATAATAAAATATTTTTATGCAACATGACTATCAATATGTCATTTTCTGTCAAATTTTGGATACAAGTTACCTTTTCTTTATAATAAAAAAAATAAAAAAAAATAAAAAAACACTTGAAATATGAAGGGCCAAAGTGAAAACAAACAAACTTGAAGGCCCAAAGTGAAAACAAACAAATTTGAAGGCCCAAAGTGAAAAAATGACCAAATATAAAGGGGGCAGGTAGTATAATTTATCTATTAAATTACTTAGGCACTATTTGGTACAAAAGGCATTTTTTTTAAGGTCATATCACATCTCTACTTTTTTACATATTCTTTCATAAAAAATTAAAAATTATACTTATTTAGATCATTCTGAACACCATCGTAATGAAAATTGTTATACAACTCTCACATAAGGCATTTTTTAGGACTTTTTTTTTATTCTTTTTTTTTTCCCTTCTTTTCCATTTTTGAATTTTTTTTTCTTTACTGTAAAGGAGTGGTGGGTTTATAAAATACAATATAGAGAGAAAATATTATTAAAAAAATAAAAAAGAAGTAGAAATTATAAGAAAATTACATTTTGCCTTAGAAAATATCTCATGTGACCCTCACATAACAATTTTCATCAAATAATTCAACACCAAATTACTGGAAAGGCCAAATTGTAAGTTAATCAAAAGTGATTAATTGTCACAATTAAAAAAATAAAGTGAGATTTAATGTAAATTAGAAGATACAAAAGCGTAATTGACCCATATAAAATAGAAAAGTAAACAAAAAAAAAATGCACTATGTAATTGAGATTCATCTTAAGTGTGGTGTATAGTCATATTTTAAAATAAATATTATTCCCTTCTTGTCACTACAACAAACTACACATTTGGCGACTAAAATTGGCGACCAAAACAATTTTAGTCGCCAAAAACAACATATTGGGCGACTAAAAACCTGATTTAGTCGGCGTTGATTTAATGTTTTTAGCTACTAAATTATTTTAGTCGCCATATAGTCTTATTGGCGACCAAACTTAGTTTTAGTCACTGTTTGTTACCATTTTACACTACTAAAATTTCATTTAGTCGCCGTATAATAACATTTTGCGAAAAAAAAAAATTGTCGCCAAAAAATGGCCGTATTTTTGATGAATTTTTTATGACCAAAACTAAGTTAGTGGTTGTATATTAAACATTGCCGATGAAAATTTGAAATTAGTAGCCAAATAGGATGCTTTTGTCGACCAATTTTTAGTCGCTGTTAAGGATATTTGGCAACAAATAATCATTTAGTCGCTAAAGCTTCGAAATTTTTTTAGAGGAAAACTCATTAATATTGGCGCACAGTATATATATTACACAGACACACATTTTTGTTTTGTTTTGTCTCACACACCAACATACAGAGCAGTCGATACCAAACCTCACCATCGCTTACCACCGCCAATCATCACCATCGCTGGCCACCGGCGCTCGCCACCACGACCACTGCAAATCGGCCCCACCACTTATTACAGGTATTTGTCTCTCGTCTTTCTCCCTCTCTGTCGATCTGGGTTTGTCTGTTTGTATCTCTTTCTCGCTGTCTCTCCCATCCCCGTGTCTCACGATTTCTATAGGGTTTTTATATGTTTTTTTTCTTTCATTTTCTATTGATTTCGTAAACAATTTTTTAGGGCTTTTTCTGATTTCATGAATGGGTTTGGTTGAAATTTTGGATTGTGGATTTTGGATTCTCGATTTTGGATTGTTGAACTATATGACCAAATGTGCCTCTGTTTCAGGAATATTCCAAACTAACCCTATATATATATGCATGCATAGGTGAGAAATCTAATTAATGTTTTAGCTTGTTTTGTGTGTTAGTGAGAGGACCTGAGACCACAAGGAGAAAGCCTCTGCAATCTAAGTAAGCTAAGGAGCTTAAAGTGACATTCCAGTTCCCTTCTGGAATGCTTTTTGGAGATTTAAGGTACCTTTCTTTGAAAAAAAATTCACTCTAATTTGCTTATAATTTTTTTTATTTTTTGTTTGCTCTGATGATTAAAATCCTATTTATGTTGTTTCCACTATTTAGAACAACATATGTTTGGAATGTAATCAAACACTCAAATTTAAAGTAATAGAAAAAATAATTTAGTAGTTGGTTAAATTTGATGTCTTCGTTGAGAATGAAAATCAAACAAGGAAGTATTCTCCATTGCAGGTGTTTGTAAGGCACTTATTGGGGAAATTAAGTTCCTTAATTTGTTTGGTTTTATATATATGTCTATAAACATATGAAAATGGTTACATCTTAAATTATCAAACAAAACATTTTATCATTAATCTTAAACTCTTGACAAATTAGAAAGAGGGCAAACATGCTTTCAGTGGACACAAAAATATTAGTTGGTATTTTTGTAGGACTTTTGGCGACTAAATTTTTTTAGTCGCCAATACCTTCGGCGACGATGTATCCGCGACAAAGCCAACGACCAAAATTTTTGGTCGGCAAAGTATTTCGGCAACTAAAATCAATACTTTTGGAGACTAAAAAATTAGTCGCCAAAAATATAGTTTCTTGTAGTGTGTGCATTTTTTTGTGTTATAATTCTGTGCATATAGTATCTTTATTTATTTTGTTTATCACATGCAATATTAACAAACATGAGTGGAGAGAATCATTAAATTAATAATAATGACTGTATAATAATAATAACAATAAAAAATAACTTTTAATTTATAAATGTGAGTAACATAATATTTTTATGGGAAAGACTGTGATACACAATTCTCAAGGGGTGTGTACTATATACACCTTATAACTATAGAAGAAAATAGTATAATTCTATACTTTCTGAGTCATAAATTAAATAAAAAAAAAAGGTCATAATGACGTAGCGGAATACACGGGGACTACATATTGTTCTAATAGACGGAAGAGGTTTTCGAATTCGTGAAAAAAATAGAACCTTGAATCTATAATGAAGAGGAAATTCTAAAAAAATTGAATTATATTGCATAAAAATTGTCCTTCTCATAAGACTTACATAGCTATTTATAATAAATTAAGCCTTGGAGACCAAGTAAGCTTGGACACCAAGATATCTAAAATTAAGAAACAATAAACTAAGCAGAATTCTATTATACACACCCCCATAACACATGCATCCTTAATTACGTCTTTTCTTTTTTAGTTATGACCAATTTTCTTCTTTAGTTATGATATTATTTTAATATTTTGGTTATGACTTTTTTGTGTTTGGTTATTACATTTTTTTTAAATTATTATTTTTTAGTTATGACTCGTAAAGTATAAAATTATACTATTTTATTATGTAGTTACAAGGTACATACCATAGTCTTTTCCATAAACTAATCCTATTCTTGGAAAAAAAGATACCTAAGAATTAGGAAAACAAAATAAAAACAAATTAAGAAACCTAATAATTCTAAAATATTTATATTAAATTACAAAAATCCTAATCAAATAATATATCAAAAATATTAAACTGAAAATATAAAAATTCCTAAAATCTTGTCCTACATCAGACTCCTCTCCTCGAGTTCATATTAGAGATCTGCCATCGTCCTTGCTAAATAAAATGGAACTTGGAATACTTTAGTTGTTTGTCCCTCTTCCAAAAATTTTATGGAAAAAAGTCTAGTTTTTGAAAGTTCAATTGGTTGACAAGATCAATTATACAAGCATTGGAAATCAAATTAAATTTCTCTATACCAAGAAAATCAACAAAATTCACTTTATGTACAACCTGCATGCTTTCTTAATTTTGGACCATCCTAGATTCAATTGATCCTTCAATTATCAACCTTGGAACATCAAGTGTAGCATCAACCAATTTCTTTGTTGCACGCAGCAGTTGTATTATCTCTTCTTCTATTTTCTCTTTGCTATTAAGCTCAATCGGATCTCCTTCTCCTTCAATATTTTTATGATATGATTGTAAAACTTTCTTTCCAGCATTCAAATTACCAACTGTTGATGCATTATCAACACTCAAACTAGACTTTGTATTTTCTTCATTAGTTTTACAAACAATCTCACCACAAATAATATTTGAATGTGAAATCCTTTCTTTTGTAACTACAATTTTATTGCAAACTTTCACAACCTCTATTGAAGAATCTTGATTTGTATATGACAAAATATCTTCATGATCATAAAAGTAAAATTTACTTGCTAAAAACTTTTTCATTACTAATCATGAACAAATTTTGTCTTTATTTTTGCGAACTTGATAATCTTGTAATCCATTTTACCACTTCAATGCTATTTTATCAAGTTTGTAGGATGCAATATAACCTTCTTTTCATGAGAAATCTTCATGTGTTCAAAG